AGAGAACAGACTAAACAGAAGTGAAACAGAGCGCTGCGCTGTTTTTTCCTAAGCAGAGAGAGAGGCTAAACTGTAAACAAGAGGCATAAACTGTGTAACTGAGATTTGAAATAATAAAAGTGGGAGATTCCCCTTTCAATAATACTGAGTGTAAGTGATAGCATATGTAAGAATATTTATTTAAAGAAATGTGTGCAAATATTTTTTAACCTTGCAGGATTCCTCTTAACATCAGTTTGAGATGATTTACTATCAATGACTATGGTATGACCCATTCCTGAGGGGACAGGCTTTGAGAAGCAGAGATGTATGCTTAGAGCCAGATCCTGTAATCTGATTTACATTTGTAGACCCTTATGTAGTTGTTGGAGCTGTGCGTATTCTCAAGGGTCTGCCCACACAGGTCACATTGCAGGATTGGGGCTGGGGTGGTATATGAATAACAAAATGTGCTGGAAGGCCCCAAAAAAACTGCTTGGGTATGTTAAAAGAAGTAGTACTGAAAACTAGAAGCCCGATTTATTATATGGCTGTGCTCTGCTGGAACATTTGATCTTGCTGTATTTAATTCAGGAAGTCTTAATGGTATGTGCTCGGTGCATGGCTGTAATGTCCATTAATGCTAGTGGAACATAAGCATACGTTGAAGGGGGAAAATGTATGCTGTGTCTTCCACGCAGTTGAAATGTTAATTTCAGTGATAGGAAGCCACAAAACATAAGAGAAAATAATTAGAATGGTTCAAAAGACTATTTGAAGAAGGAAAGCCATCAGGCAAAGTGCCACCCTATTTCAGGGCATGTCAGACATTAATCACCACCCTCCGGCACGCTGGAGCAGGTGAAAGGCTGAGTGGTGAGGAGTAATGGTCTGCTAGCTTGTGCCCGTCTGGACGTATCCCGTGGCTGGTTTTCTTGTGACTGCTTATATGGAAGGAAATGGCACGCGCCTGCATCAGGAACCACAGATTTGAAAAGGTCAGTTGAAATTGGAATTTATATGTGAGATGAGGTGCTTAATGTCTTCATTATCAGGTCAACACCCAGAAAATACTTTCTGTTCACTTCATTAGTACAGAGGATGACTCCAGAGCTGAACTCTGAAATGCCTGTAGTCTGTGGGTGAATAGTGAATGGCAGAGTGCATTGCGTTGCTTTTCAGAAAAGCCGTTCCTAAGCACAGGAACGACATGAAGGCTCCCACAGGGTTTCTCTTGGTGTTTGTTTCACCCTCCTCAGTTTTTTTTCTGTTTATGCATTAAGATTTGCAAGCTTGGCCTGTTCTTCGCAAAGCCTTCCATCCTGCTCCAGGATCTTAACAGCTTTGAGGACTGCTGTACCTGGTGGCACCAGGCTGAAGGCAGGTGGCCTTGAGTGGAAGCGCTGGTGCCACTGTGTGGAACAGCTGCCTGCGCACTGCTCCTCTGACAAGCGCCGACCCCAACAAAGGCACTGAGGTGCGCTGAGGAGAGTGATTTAATTTGGCCTCCGATCCCACGCTGGAATGTAAAGGGAATTTTGTCTGCCCTTGTAGGCCGGCGTTCACCTCCCCTGCCAGCAGGATCTAGCTGGAGTTAGGAACATTGCTGTCCTGGGCTCTTCTAGAAGTCATTGCCGAGAGCACCACCTCCAAAGAACAAGTGAGATCCGATTCAGAGTCCTAATAAAGATCTAATGAATCCAGACTCTGTTACCCTCACAGCGCATTTAATTTACTCTCACCTTTAATGTAATCACACTGATGTCACGCTGTTTGTAAAACTGATGACCTTTTGTCTCTTCTGCCATGAACTGTGTAATTTGCAAATGAACTGCAAGCCTGCCGTTATGCCCGGGTTGCCAAAGAAGTTCATTGCCCATATGGGAACGCTTTCCACAGCCCGTAGCTTGTCCCTGTTTTGGGGAACCACGCTGAGGAAGGTGGTCAGCCTGCACCTTTTGATATTCTCTGCTTTGATTACGAATTTGGTAACAGCTACATTGCTAGGAGTGGCTTCTCTCATGTTGGGCATGTATTTGTGTAGCTTTATGTTGTCCCCTCCCAAGATACGGACAGTTGGCTTGGATATAGCAAACGTCTCATACATGCTGTAAAGGAACAGGTACAAAAATGGAAAGAGCCACTCTTGTACTGCAACTTGAGCACTTTTGCCCTTGCATGTTATTTTTTTCCCAACTAAAGGACTGTATTCCTAGAATCTCATCCAGTAATTTTTAGGATTCATTGCAGTTTATTGAGGCTTGTCAGCCAGCCCTGTTGCAGATAATGTATCCTTACATCCTCTGCAGTCAGCGTTGAGTCTTGCTTTACCTCCCTGGCTCTTTGGCAATATGGAAACAGTGCAATCAATCTACTGAGATTTGTTTGTTGCTAGCAGTTAAATAGTAAGTGCAATTAATTGAGTAGGGCTGTTCTTGAATGCTGAGGGCTGGACCAAGAGATTTCCTTTATGATTTGTAGTGCAACTATAGCTTTTTGCTGATGTATACTCTGTTAAATTACAAACCTGGAGAGTCCTTTGTCAAGGTAGGTTGCAGTTTACCCCAGTGCAGTTTGGCACAGTTCCCGTGTAGACATTAATACTTGTCTGTATTGTAAAACACGCAGTTAATTATTAAAAATAATGGGGAAAAAATATTTTCTAACACACTCCCTATTTCTGATCTGTGTCGTGGATCAATTGGCATATAGAAGTTTTCTGGTGCATATAGCGAGCACGATGATTGAAGAACACTGAATTTCTAAAATAGATTAAAAATTGTTCAAGGAGAGTAAGGAGGGAATACTGAACATTCTTTAAAACATTCAGTATTTCCTCTGACTTTTTCCAGAGTGAAATTACACTTAGTTTGCTTTTTTGCAACATCTAAAGAGCAAACAGGTTTTTTTTTTAATAAATGGTAGATATTTTTAAAAGTGAAGAGATGTTGGTTTGTAAGATTCTTTGCTCCTCTCTAGACTATTTTTTAATATTGAAATTTTAGATGAAAGACTATCTCTCAAACAGTTTCTTTCTGAGCTGCGTAATGCAACATAACAATAGCTATTTATATAATGCATATGCTTCCTCTCCCTGTTAGCTATACTTTGAAAGACTTATTAGTCCTAGAGCCCAGCACATTCAGCGAATAAAAACCTCCAAAGTTTGACATCTTTAAATAAGCAACCAAAAGTTATAAAGAACAAACCTCACTTACAGTTAGGAAACAATATTTACATTTAAGGTTGAAAAGCCAGGATGTAGGAAAATTTTGCTAATTTGGAAGGTGACCTTTAAGTGCACCAAAACCAAATAATTTGTAAGCTATGGCACAGGGCACATTCCTGCAAAATTTGTGTGAATACTGCTTTAGTGATTCTTGAAAGACAAACAAAGAGGCCTGGAATGAAATCTTTATCCCTCTCCCAAATAAGATTGAAGCTAACAAAGGCATACAGCAGCGCTCTTTCAAAGCTTGCGATTAAAACGAAGGCTCTGCAGCACAGCTAATGAGATGGCTCAGAGTGGAAAACAATCTGTTTTCAAGAATGTTTAGATCAAAAGTAATTTCTAATCTATGAAATAAAGTCGCTTTTCAATACCTTTCTTTCACTAGTAAAGCTTTTTATGTTTGCACTATTTACTTCAATCAGATGTTTTCAATTTTACTTTTTTCTTCCTGAAAATACTTCCTAGGGTTAGTTGGTAGTGACCAACAGCATTATTCTTCTTCTCTCTCCCCTATTCACCCACCCCCACATATGAAAAAAAATGAGAAAAGAAGAGGGGGAGGAAGAAAGAAACATCTTTTCTTAAATGATTTGCAAGCATCTGTGCTTTAAGCTACTTTTTATGAACACTCCTTAGTAATGACTCAAGGTAAAAAAGCAGAAAAGCATCCAATGTTAGGAAATTGCAATCCAATACCATGTAATTTAAACCTGCCATTGCCTCTCCTGTACTAAATGACATACAGATGGGTAGCTCTGTTCCCTATACTTTGGGAACACAATTGGTCTTTTTAAAAGAGTGTATATACATTACTAGCAAAAAATATTTTTGTTGGGACTGTTTATTTCTAATTGTGCCATATTTTAATTACTGTCAGAGTGCTGCTTCACTGCTGTATTTCATCAGCTAATTTTTTCAAGCAATTATCAAAGTTATTTTAGTATTTGCTGATTTCTGTTACTACTTTGGGAGTTTTCATTCTCAACCTTATTGTTATTTTTGCTTTTCTGATGTGATATGAATTTCTGCACTATACAGATTTTTTTTACAGTAATCCTTATGTACTCCTTGGATTTTATGTGTGAACTAAGCAAAACATAAGACGAGATTTTTGAAGGAGGGTAATTTCAATAGCAACCCTGATTTTTTACCACAAATTTATTGTTGAACCCTGTACAGCTTTGTGCATAAAGATAAGACTTGCTCCTCAGGGCTGCAATTCTAGCACTTCAACGGTGAAAAAATACAACGGTTAATGTTATAAAGTAAAAGGATGAGGATGCAACTAGAAATTAAATGAACCTTACTGGAATTCTAAAGATTTAGAACTGGTTTTCAGTTACTTCAAAGGGTAATGAAATTGTTGGATGTTGTGGCTGAACATCATATGCCCATTACCGTATGTCTCCAATATAGATGTCTTGTAAAGAATGTTTCAGCTGTAGCTGGGGTTTTTTTGCAGATTTTTGTTTTAACAGTTGGAAAAATGTTACTTTCTTGTGAATGATTGTGTGCACAACAGTTTAGTGTATAACACACCGAAGGGCTTTGGCTGTAGCACATTGTCACTGCTCCAGTGGAATCACCTGGCTCTCAAGCAAAATTCTTTTTTAAACTTGGATTTGAAGAAATAATCAGCTGCAGTTCAGCTGAGCCATTCTTCGTGCATTAGGGACCGGTCTGGTCATTGACAAGTGAATGCAGAAGCTATGCTGTGGCCGTCTGCCAAAGCAATTATTCAGGATTTAAGCTAAAAAGGCTCCTTCTCCCATATCCTCTCCCTTTGCAGGGTCATGTAGGGATAAAAAGGACTGTAAGGTGGTCTTTTCCCAGGAGGAGCTGAGGAAGCGGCTGACACCCTTGCAGTACCATGTCACTCAGGAGAAGGGGACTGAAAGGTAAGGCAGGACGAAGGAAACGCAGTCCTCAAAACACAGATTCTTTTCTCCCCCTCCTGTGAACGGTGCTTCCTCACCTTGCCCACCAAGGTGTGGGGTTTTTTTTCCCCCCAGGATTTCTGCACTTGTTTACTAACCCCTACAAATTAACACCACTGCAAAGACAAGCATCTGCAGCATGGGGGCCGAGGCCAGGGATCCTGTGTGATTTTTTCTTTTAATGAACACTGCATGTCTTATAAAGTCACCAGGCTCATGTTTAGAGTCTGTTTTTAGTTTACTACAAAATGTGTGGAAGTAATAGCCGTTTAGGTACACTTTTTTTGGAAGACATCGCAGTAAGCAGAACCGCGAGGGAAATGGCCCCGTGCCAGGAGGCTGGAGGTTTGAAGGTGGCCATTGTAAGTATAGACGTTTTGGCTGCAGAAAGAAGGTAGCATAATTTAGTTCTTTTCCACCCCACTCCAATTTCTTTTTGAAGCACATGTGGAGAAGGTATTTATTGGCTCATTTGTGGTTGGAATGTCAAAAATTTTCAATAACTGCCCTCACATGGCTTTAGTCGCTGGAAGCCAGCCCTGAGTCCTGGAGGGGGTAAAAAAAAAAAAGGAGGACTCGTTTCCAAGACTGTTTTTAGTGAATAAAGTCTCTCTCTCAGCTGATTCCAGCGTGAAGGTAACGTGCCAAGGCCTCGCCATTTTTTGTTGTCTAATTTATACCACTGAGCTTGGCATAAGGCCCTGGCTTTACCTCTGCTCCAAACGTACTAATGATGTAACTGCTTGTTTTCATTCATGGCCTGCGCGGGCTCTCCACGCTGCACGTGGTGTCCCGGTTGACGGGCAGCGCTCATCCCGACAGCGCGTCGCGGCGGCTGCGCTTGCCGAGGGGGGATGGCAGGGACGGTCCACCCCGGTCCACCCTGGCCCCCTTCGTCGGGCCAGGGCAGGGTGACGCTGGCTGGGCTCTGCTGGGAGGCCTGCCTTCCCCCGGCCCTCCACGCGCTTGTGTACGGGACCAACAACGTGATTTAATGCACACAAACAATCGGAGATTAGGTCATTCTTAAAAATCCTGTTTATAAAAAAAAAATTGGACCTCAAAAAAAGGGTGAAAGGATAATAAAAACAAGCTGCCGAGCACATAGGCTTTTTGTTGGGCTGGCGCAGCTGATTCGTATTAGATGAATGACCTCCTAGCCTTTTAGATTGTTAACTTAGAAAAATACTCCCTTAAAGCTGTAATATTGCTTTTCAACTAAAAATATAAGGTGCACACAGCTTGAAATCGTGGACCAATTATTTCATTTTCAGCTACAATGCCTGTGTTGCCCCAGCAGCCCATTGGGGCCTGAGCCAGTGCCATGGCTTCAGAGCTCAGGGCAGCTGAGCCTGGGCACTTCGCCCCCCCGGCCTGGGCCCCCGAGCCTGGGCACTTTGCCCCTCATCTGGGGCGGCTGAGCCCGGGCACTTTGCCCCCCGGCATGGTTCACCCCTTGGCCTGGGCAGCCAAGCCCGCTGCCAGCACGTTTACCAAAGACAGACCTGGAGAAGTGCGCCAGTTGAGCTGTGTGTCTATGCCTACAAAAACTTACACTTTGCTCGCCAAATAGGGGAAAATTCGAGTTTTTCCCTTGTTGTTGTTCTGTGCTGTGAACTGTGGGACAATTTGCTTCCTCTTGCATGATACGTAACACCTGAGGCACACTAATGAGGACATTCCCCTTTTCCTGTGCCTGCTTTATTTACTGCTTTAATAAAAAACAACTACAAGCTTTTAAATTGTTGGGTTTTTTTCTGTAACATTTTTCTAAAGCCTTAGCTAATTTAATAATTAAAAAGAAAACAAAATTCCTTTATTTATTTTTAAAATGCAGTGTTGTTGTTTTCCCAGTGCCTTTGAGGGGGAGTACACACATCATAAAGCTCAAGGAATTTACAAATGTGTTGTTTGTGGGACTCCTTTATTCAAGTGAGTATGCTAAATGTAGTTCTGAGATTTCTGTCTTAGTTTATGTGCTGTGTTTCCGTGTAATCTTCTGTATATTCCAGTAATCGTATAAGATTAAAGTCATTCAAATTGACAAGGGATACATGTCAAACTGACAAGGGAGAAGCAATGTAAGTAATAATGCTATAGTAAAATTCATCTTATAGTAAGGATAAAGAATTTAGTAAATAAGATAGTAAGATAACATTCTAGTAAAATACGCAATTGACTGTAAAAATCAGTAATTCTTTTTTTTCTCCTCTGCTTATACAGCCATGCCAAGTAATTGTAACACAGTCTTTCATTGCACTGATAAATAGGAGTTTTGGCTGTTAGCATTACTCACAGGTAGCTTTAAGATCTGGATCCCAGGCAGTGATGCTGCATCCATGCTACAGCATTGTGTCTTATCATGGAGAAAAAAGGAGATGCTGTTTTAGAATTCAAGCAGTTAAGAAAACAAAATTCAGGAAAATTGCATTACTTCTTGAATTTTCATGCATCCCAATTAGCACAAATGGAGAGCTGGGTTAGGAACTGAGGCAAGGATTAAGAAAGGAAGAATAACTTTTGTGTCTTGCATGGAAAATACTCTTTAGAAGTCCTGTAGGAATTACGGCCCTAAATTTGGTGCTGGAAGCAGTGTTGATTGGTTTCTCTCAATCACTGCATTGTTCTGCTCAGATTCAGTTATTGTTTATGTGTTTTTTCTTATTTCTGGCTTCTTGTGTTCATTCTGATGAAGAATTTAATTTTTTGCTTGTTTTTTTCCCTCAGTTCACACTGGCTCACTCACTCTCACGTGAAGAGGTACTTTTACAGCAGCACGAAGCTGGATAGTCAGGATAGCACTAGTAATAGAGAAGATTGGGCCAGTAATAGGTTACAAAGGAAAATAAAACTGATGTAGCTCCAGAATCACCAGATGTGTTAGTGATAGTTGTTCTCAAGAGACTGTCTGTAAAGATGAAAGAAGCACTTCATCTCTGTTATGTTTGATTCCTCCTTCCTTATGTTAGGAGGATTACCTGCAGAAATTTCAGTAATAACGTGAATCTTCTGAGCTGGAAAACCGATTGTTGAGAACTCAGCCAAGGCAATATTCTCGTGTCATGTGTTACTGTGGTGCTTGGATTGGGGGTACAAAGTGGGGATCTAAAGTCTCCATTATCTGGTTTTCTACTCTGCCATTTAGACATTCCCCTGGTTACTGTAGCTGAATCTTTATGGGGGAAATCCTGGCTCTGTGGAAGTCAATACAAATTTGGCAAATGAATGCAATGGAGCCAGGATTTCACTCTCTACGTTCAAGACTGGCTTCCTTTCTATCGTCTGCTGGAGAAAGGGTAGAGTATTTTGTGGGGTGAGATTTGGACAACAGTAGTTCACATAAATGAATGTGAACTAGTTTCCAGTTGGTTTCACAATCCATTTAATATGGGAAAAAAATGCAATATGAGACTTACCTGTGATTATCTCAAGTGCACAGTATACTTTGGCGTAGTCTTGACTTTTTTGAGTTAATGAGTTGGATTTCTCTATGTGAAATGAGCTATATGGAAATGTCCCTGTTTTCAGATTCTCTGAGACTTCCTGTGGGTTTTATGGGAGGAGAGAGAGGGAAAGAGAGAAGTTGTTTTTTATTTTTAATAAATCCCAGGCCATTGGGCACTTGAAAAAAATGCTCATTGCTGATTGTGTCCCAAGGCTGGCCTCCCCTTAGCCCAGTCTCCCCAGAGTCTTTGTGTTGCTTTGTGAGCTCTTGCCACCTCTGATCTACGTCAGATTCAGCCAGTTGTTCTGAAGTGGCTGGCAAGGGTGGGAACAAATGGAGAGGTCCATCTTCTTTTGCTTACTGACCCCAAAATATCACTATATAATGTCTTCCTCAACTAGGGAAGATATGTTCTTGTATCTTGGTGACTGCTTCAGCCCAGACAGCTAAAAAAGTGAGAAGGAAACATAGATAAGAGAACGGAAAATATATGCCATTTACTAAATTTACCCCACAGAGTGTAAAGCACTGTAGTATTTTCTTTGTATTGTACTACCTTAGGTGGTAGTACAATACAAAGAAAGTCCATTGCCCCATTTAAAATGCAAGTTGTTTTTGTGGTGGTTTTTTGGTTTTGATTTTTTTTTTCATTTCCACATAATTATCTGAAACTTGCTTTTCCATTTGTTTCTCACTGGGTGTCCATTAATTTTTTTCTTTGTGTCGTTGTAATCTCTAAATATATATATTTGGACTACAGACCTGTCAGTTTAACCGGGAAAGAGACTAGAGCTTCAGCAGTAATATTAACAAACTTCAACTTTTAACATTTCTGATTTACGTTGTTTCATTACCATGTGACACACGAGGTCAGGGAACACATGAATTTTACACTCCAGATGAAAGACCTGGGTTTTGGTACATCTTTAAAACAGAACTCTGTCTCTATCACAGGAGAGATAAAAGAAACAATTAGGAATTTAACATCTCTTCATCTACCTACTTGTACCAGTGTTATGAGAAACCTCCCAAGCTTTATAGAGAACACGCTTTAACTTCTTCCACAATCAAAGGTGCCTCACACATAAAATCCATAATCGTGCCATTGAATCTAATTATTCCATCTCTAAACTTTCACGCCAGACAGTCTCCTACATCCTGCTACAGCTGCCTAGAGAAAGCAATAAATGAGAGAGACAATAAACTAATCTCAAGGACCTCTTTTTTCTGCAAGCCAGCCCTTACGTGGTGTTGTGTTACAGTTACTCTGATCTAGCTGCGGGCTTAAGCTACAAGAAGCAGCCCTGCTCCTCCCACCTTTCTGTAGGGTGTTTCTTCATTGCTTCCCCTTCACTGGACCTCACCTGGTGTGGGTGGGGCATGTCTCAATGATCCGATAGAAAACTAATCAGCCAAAGAAAAAACCCTCATGCTTATCAGCTATATCTGCTCATGTTAAGGTTTTGTGAGCCATGTTTATCATGGCTGGACAGCCTCTGTGGCAAGGTTGTGCGTTTCTGTATCAGTTCACAGAGACCCACCTACACCACTCAAATCCTCAGTGTTTTGTGAGGGGCAAGTGTATTTGGAAGATTGCACCTACTTTACTTTTTCAAGGCATTTTCTTCTAAACTATGCAAAAATACCATTCTGTCCACAGCCATGGCAAGAGGAGGTTAGAAGGGAAGTTTAGAGTGAAATCCATGACTCGCACTGTTGCCATAGGAGAGGAGCTATTTGGTGCTTTATAAACCACGGTCATGTCCTTTACCATATGCAGGGCTGTGTGAGATGGGAACTGGGAAGCCTGGGAGAATGATTTCCTTTTAAAAAAAGAAATATTATTGTTGTGTCAGCTTTGAATTTTTAGAGCCAAGGAGTGAATTGCCAAGGCTTCATAAATCACCCACTGCTGCCTTTATTGCTTCCTGGAGGGAATTCTTGGTAGTGGTGTTGGCTCTTCTGAACATGCGCTGGAAGAAATAGCAACACCGTTTTTCCTGTCATGTTTTCATTTGATTTTCGTTGAACTGTGTCAGGTCTTCTCAGCATCTCTCAGACATCCAAAAGCAAATCCTGAGAAAAGCAAAGCATGGCTGGGCAGTATTGCAGTGCCATTAGTGTTGTACCACTCTTGTCTTCACAACACAAGGGAGGATTTCAGTCGCCAGGCTAGACCTATGCAAGGAATTTCCATGCCGCAGTGCTGAGTGCTTAATTAATGGTCCTTAAGCTTATTTAATAGTCTTTATATCAGGCAAATGACAAATTTATAGCAGGCCAAATGACAATTCGGCACTGGCTGTCTGGCTAGGAGAGCCTATATGAAGTAACTGCTGTAGCGTCTCTAAGAAGATCTAGTAGAACTACTAGAGCAACTTCATCCACCCTGACTGGCTCTTAGTTTTATCACAAAACTTGTAGCTTTGTGTGTCAAAACCAACAGCATCCGTTCAATAAAATTTTTTTGGAGTAAGTTAGTTCTTGCCAGTGTAGGAATCAGTCAGCAGGCAGTATTACCAAACAGTTCTCATCCAAACTCAGATTTTTTAGTAGGTCTTATGTAGCTCCAAGAAGCTTGAGGATCTTAAAACTTGGAAGAACTTCTGCAGTTTTTTTGTCCCCTAAAAAAGGCTGGTGGAGTTAAAAATCAGTAAAGTTGTTATCATTGAGCATTGTTTTGCTTTTGCTTAATCAGTTTTTGATTGAAACCAGCCTCTGTTTCCAGTTTGCTGTGTTACTGCTGGATGACAAATTGTTATGCACTGCTAGCCACCTCACCAAAAATGAAGATAGGAGAATGCTCGTCTTCCTTGCAGCCTTCTAGAATCTGGAGGTTTAATCCATCTCTGAGAATGACCATCAGTATGAATGCCATATTTACTGCAGTCCCTGCAGTAAAGTTTCTTTGTGAATACAGCCCATGGCATCTTCTGCGTCTGAACGTACCTGAATGCTGAATCCGCATTAATCCTACATGAACGCTGAAAAAATGCTGAGCTGTGTACAGCCTGTCACACCTGTAGCATGGGGCCGTCGCTGTAGCTTGGCCTGGCAATTACTAATTTCTGTGGTGGTTTGGAACAGGACTTTGTCCTCCTGGTCCTCAAGAGCCCCTTGAAGCAAGAGCGGCACAATTCTGCCCTTCGCTGCAGCGGCTGGGCAGCTCTCAGGGAAAGGCTTCTTTCGCTGGATGCTTGGCAAGTGTGGTGTAGAGAGCTGCAGTCATCGTAGCAAATGATTCTGCACTCCTAATCGGCTCGTGGGTAGTTTTTAATATCCTCTAACTGGCAGCTTCTTGGCTGGTGCTGAATGTTCATTTCACTGCCCTCATATAAGCAACGAAGTCTGAAAAGATTTTTATGTTAAGGATTAGGAGAGCGCGAGCAAGTTTCGAAAACAAAACCCACATTTTTTTCCTTGATCCGCAAGCCACCTGGTCTTGTTCTTTCAGTAGATCAGCTCTGTTGTACTGAGCTGGTTGCTG